TTACTAGAATTGATGCGCTAACTGACCTTGAGGTGATCTGGCTACCGTACGGAGTTGATCCTAGACTTGGAGTGCCCCCCACTTTATTCATTGGCTGCATCCAGTACCGTAACATCATAGAGCCCTACATTCTTGTTAGAGTGGTTCGACAGCTTGGTTTCGTGCAAGGCATTCCACGTGACATTATGACAAGAGGCCGACTAACTTGAAAATGTACCGAGTAGACTTCCCGATCAAAATGACAGATGTGATGTGGAGGAGGTTTATCCCTGGGGTATCTCAGAGTGTAGTTTTAGGTGCCCTTGCCAGACTAAGTGTTGGAGCTCCTTCTGTTACGCCTGGTTACATGTAGTGGTTGTACAGGTTTTCTCACCCTCGGGTATCTAAAACTTCAATAATGGCGATGGCGTTAAAAAAAGCAAAAAAAAATCCTTCAGAACAAGAGATCAAATAAAGAAAATATGGAGAAGCAATATCGATTTAAATGAAAAAGAAAGATGAAGTCGTCCAGAAAAGGGATTAAAAGAAGAAGACAGAAGGGCAATTTCGAAAAAAAAAAGGGGGGCAAAAATGGCAAGTCACTATTCCTTTGGGCAAACACTGTTCACAGTTCCTAAACATTTTGATGTTCGGAGTTTTAAAGGTAGTAGATTAGTCATGTATTATAAGAACTGGACAGTGTATATTTCTTAGTTTTTGTTGCATTTAATTTTTTCTTTTTAAATTGCTTTATATTGTGCTTTATTTGTCATGTAATCTTAACTAATGTAGTGAAAGTACATTAAAACTTACATTTATAATTAAACATATCTACAAAAGTTCAAACTTAGTGAAAGTACATTACAAACTATCTAACTAGTAAAAACACTTTACCGCTATGACAATGGACTCGGGCCCATACGGTATCCAAAGAACCTGCCATTGATTCAAATTAGTAAAAACATTTTGCTATTATCTATTATGATTACAAATACGAAATAAAGAAAACAACTAATATATTAAAACAACTAACCTGTGGATGATTCAAACCACGTCTTCACTGCTGAATGTTGGCTCTCAACTCTACAGTTGGTGGTGTTACCAAAGTGAAGAATTTGGTTCGTCCAATATGTCACAAATTTGATTTTATGACACAACCATGTTCCCTCAACGTACTGAATCACTGCCGGAAAACTTTCCCACCTTGCTTTCATGATAGCCAGAGCATGATCATACTCCGCCTCAATTGATGCATCCATAATACGTTTCCATTTGCCATTTTTAAAATTGGCACTAATCTTCTTGTTTTTGAACATCTTGGTCACCCTAGCCTCCACATCTTTGTTAATGTGCCATCGATTGAGTAAATACAACGTCCCTGGAAACACTTCTCTCAAAGCCGCACATAACCCAAGTTCACGGTCTAACAAAAATACCGATGGCTCTTATTAAAACCCAATCAATTCCTTAATCTCTACAACACCCTCCGATAGCTAGCCGTGCACTCGTTGCGCATGAAACATAACCAACTAGAAAATTATGGTTTGTCGGTGTCACACCTACTATCTCAAAGAACGGCATGCCATATCAATTGGTCTTGTAAGTAAAATCCATCCCTATGACGTGTGGGTATGTACGGAGTATGTTGAACGTGATTGGGTGCACCATAAATGCATGTCGTAGGACGTCAAGCCCATCGGACATGACCCAGTAAATGTAAATAATCTCTCTCGCCAAATGAAGAAATTGTTGAACAACTCCTTTTCCTTCAGACATCTCCATCCTGAAATCATTCCGGCAGTTGTAAATGTGCCTGATGTTTGGATTATCATTAGGAAATTGTTCTGCAATAGTTGCCATGATGTTACGGGGCGCAAACTTGGACTTTGTCATGTCCCGCACAACCTGTTTTGCACCCAAGCTCAATCCGCTAACTTTACGATGACCCTCTTCATACACAATCATTGGGTAGTTATGTGTCCCGTTGTGATCATTTTTTGCGTGGATCTTCCAACTGTTGATGGTAAATTCATAATATATCTTGATGTAAAAAGGACAACCATAAGCTTTGGTTTTTGTGCCTTTCCATATCGCGTTCTCCAAATCTCTGTGCTTGCTCCTCCTTCCCCGATCACAATTCAAATATTAGTATGGCCGACCATCTCTGGTTTTGTTATATGACCATTTCACCAAAATAAATCCGAGATTTATAGAAACAACATCCACCGATTTAAATGCATCCTCAAATGTTGTAAATAACGTGTCCGTGACGAAATTCCCACTATAATTCACACCGTTACCGCCGTCTTCAGATTCCAAATCCTATACAAATTAAATGAAACAATGGTCTTTGACAATTTGTTCTTTTTAATAATATTAATAAAATATTTATAAAATAATTTTACATCTACTAATATTATTAAATTAATAAATAATACTAATAATAATAACAATAACAATAATAATAACTACAACAACAATAATCATAAACACTAACAATAACAGTAATAAGGTTTCAAAAAATTAATAATATTACCACTAATAATAATAACAATATTAACAACAAGTAGCAGTAGTAGTAGTAGCAGTAGTAGTAGCAGTAGTAGTAGTAGTAGCAGTAGTAGTGGTGGTAGTGGTAGTTGTTTCGGGGTTTTCTGATGTCCTGCGGGAGAGTTACAATTCCGAGACTGGAACCGGACGCCTGTACCTGCAAAATAACGGAGACTCCTGAGAGCTCCGCCTCCAACGGTCAAGTTAGTACCTGATTAAGGAGTAATCAATACAGAAATTAAAGTAATGAGATCTCTCTAGGTGAGAGTGCTTAGTGTTGGTAATCTGCGTCGTTAGCGAGATTAGCCGGTTGTTAATAACTCTGTTCTTCTCTGCTTGATTTCTTGATTATTCGATCCCCTGATTAATGAGGATTAATTGAGTATTTATAGCCTTGAGAAGCGTGCAACTCTCTAGGTTTAAGGTAAACCTAGGGCTGATCGGGCCTCTAGACTGGATTGGGCCTTGATGGCCGGTTTTCCCATTTGGCATGGGTGGACACGTGGCGTGTCTAAATTGGTCCGTAGAGGACGTATCTGTGATTGACACGTGGCAGGTTCCTGTTGGCCTTCGTGAAGGACACGTGGCGGAACCTGGTTGGTCCACTTGTCAGACGGTGATTGGTGGATAAAAATCCCCTAATCATTTGCCCCTCACAGGTGGCACGTGACTGGTCACGTGTCGCCTGTGACAGGTGTCGCACGGTGACAGGCGACGGCCTGTTACAGGTGTCACCTTGCAAACGGCCGAGAGATTTTCCCGCCCAAATTTTGAATTTGGAAGCGACCCTTCGCCTTCTCACTTTGCCTATAAAAGGAAGTGCTGACTTCGGTCATTTTCACATTTGAGAACTTTGCGAGAACATTCGGACCCCTGAACTTGCTCTGACATTTCGGACCTTTTCTGCCTACCGCCTGTTCTGACAAGCCGACTGACCCGAACTTCCAGGACTTCATCAACCGTCACTCGTTCAGGTAACTCAGTTCTCTTACTCTTAATTTTCTTTTTATTTTTTGAAATGGCACCATGGAAGCACACGACACGCCCTAAGTTAGTGATCAGCCGGTCACCGGGGACGGCTGAATCTAGGACTAGGAGTGCCGCCTGCCCTTTTCTGGACCCATCTTTGCCCTTTATACAAAGTCCGACTGTATCTGTGTCTATGCAGAACGTGATGGCCAGAACAAAAAAGACTGCTATGATATCAAACTCAGACGGCTCCTCCCAAAGGGTGCTCCTTAGTGAAACATCTGACCAGGCGCCAGATGTAGAACGAGGCGACTGTCAAGCCGACAGTTCTGAGAGAGGGGCCAAGGTGTTCCCTTCCCATCTTACCGTTGACATGTCTAATTTTCCTTCTGCTCCTTCTAAGGGAGAGGAGGCGGGCCCCTCTAGGAGAGGGGAGGAGTCGTCCTCTTCGGACTCGTCAGGGGACGAGTCCGAATCCAGCTCTTCTGGCCACAGTTCTCCTGGCTCAGAAGAAAAACATAGCCGCCTACAAGAGGCGAGACGTTCTCATGCAGTTGAGAAGGGGGATAATTGGGCAGAGCCGTCCGCCTCTTACAGAGAGGAAAACGCCCCCTACTACTGCAGGGTACCCCGGGGCCGGATTGCAACCATGCAAGACAACGTGGCGAGCTTTATTGCTAACCACAAAATGGGCCCGGAATTTTTACTGTTCGTGCCGGATCCAGAAGACACTGTCGTCTGGCCGGCTGGTACCAGCTATGGTGACGGCTGCTTTAGCTGCTATGTGGCAGCCATCAAAGTTGGACTGCGCTTCCCATTACATCCGACTGTTCAGCGGATTTTAGATGGGTATGATCTGGGGTTATGGCAGTTAGCCCCCAACTCTTGGGTAAACGTACTCGGCTATGTGGCCGGGTGCGAACTGAACGGGGTGGAGCCAAGCTTTGAGGCTTTCGCCCACATGAACTATCTCAGCCGGACCCCTAAGTCGGGAGGTACCGGCTGGTATCAATTAACAAGCCATAGGGGTTACCTCATGACGAGAGGTAAGGCAAACAAATGGAAGGATTGGCGGAACACCTTCCTTATTATCGAGAGTTCAGACACGGAGCTGAACAAACGCTTTAACAAGTGGAATAGGGATCCGCCTCTTCTCGCAGGCGGCCGCAGCATGCCGCCTGTTCCCCCAAAGGCTAAAAGAGAGATCCTAGACAAAGGACTCTTCAAAGTAGAGACTAGGGTGAACTCTACTTCAGGGGTACGAGAGCAAGTACCCCTAAACTGCGTCCCGAGCTTCAAGTGGCTCTATGACGAGTACTTTTTGGCCGCCTGTGGCCTCAGCAGTCGGTGCTCTAGAGGTAGCCGGCCTGACGAATACTCTGTTTTTTCACGCCTTGTTTACTTGGGATTTTTACTAACTTTGTTGCTTATTTCTTGCAGCTGACGCCATGAGTAAAATATCAGCATCTAAGACTGCGGCGGCCATGTTGCGGGTCTCGCTAATGAAGCAGTCGTATGCCGACTCCCCCAACAAGGAGGCACCCTTGGTTAGCTTCGAAAACTCTTCCTCTTTTAGTTGTCTTATGCATATACTAACTCTTTTTGTTTTCAGTCTGGTACTCCAAGGGCTTCTTCCTCGCAACAGCCGGACCCCAAGGCCCGGAGGACGACTGTTGCAAGCTCTCCTGGGTCTTCCAGGAAAACAGTGGCGGCTGAGAAGCAGCCGGCCACTTCTTCAAAAACCCAGGCGGGGCCACCTAGATGTATGGACACTTGCTTGTAAAAACTCACCCTTGCTTCCTTCTTGACTAGGTCTAACTTGTGTTTTCCTTTCACTTAATGCAGCCGGCCCCCAGGGACTTGACTTGGTTGAGGTAGCCAAGTCTATGGTTAAAGTAGTTCCTCCATCTGACAGGGAGGCGGTCAGGGGTGCCGGCACCCTTGACCTTGATGGGATTTCAGGGGTCCTAGCTGAGGTACACTTAGCATATTTTTGAGCTTTTGAGTTCCAGGACGCCTGTTAACTTTTTTGATTGGAAACTGACGCCTGTTTTTCTTTGTCCTTAGGCCCTGCTCCGAGTCAACAGCCTTCGCAAGCCGATTGATCGGAAAAACAAAGAGGTAAAGGCCGCAAAGGCTATGGCCGCCTCCAGCTGTGATAAGGCAATGTTTCAAATTGCCCAAAATGAAGTACTGACCATTGATCTTCTTTATTATCAGGCGCAGGCTACCGCCGCTGTTCGGGCTCAGTTAGAGGCGGCCCAAAAGAAGGTTGACGAGCTGGAGGGGACCGTCACCAACCTTAAGGCCGAGCTGAAACCTCTTCGCCAAAAAATGCACTCTTACGAAGCCATGGAGAAATCTTTGGCCAACGTAAAAGAACGCCTGGTGAACCAAGAGAAGAGTCTTACCCAAGAGCTCTCGGATAAGGCCGAGCAAGAGAAACAAGAGCTCGTCCGGGAGATGGTGGAAGACTCCGCTCAAATCCAACGCATGACCTGGGAACGACTGTTCCCTAGTGCCGACTTTGCCTCATGGGAAAGAACGTACCGCCAGTGTTCGGAAATATATAATCAACAGATCCTGGCGGCTGCTGAAGAAGAGGCGTTGGACGGTGCGTTGGAGGAGGAAGAGCCGGTTGTGGCGCTTGTGCCACTTGGGGGTAAGGCATCAAAAGAGGGTGCAGCTAAGGCCGAGTCCAGCAAGAAGAGTGCTGACAAGGCGGCAGCTGCTGATACTGAACTGCCCCCTTCTTAAGCTTTAAGTATTTTTCCTTTCCACGACCTGCGTGCCGTTTGCTTTGTAATTACCCGGCCAGGGGGCCGGGGTTTTGAATATTCTGCTGGTCTTTAATGGCCGGCTCATTTTTAATCAAATTTTTGTTTTGGTTCAAATTTGTCCAAGTATTTTTAATTTGTTCACTAGACCGACTGTTGTGTATGGCCGAACATTAAGACAGGTACAAATAGTAAGTATGCCGCCTATGCCCCTGGACGACTGGTTGTCTGTTTCCAGGATAGATGATCAGTCGGCCATTTAATCAATCGGTATTCGAACTCTTTATTCAATTTGTCTGACCAAGTAAATAGAATTACCTAGTCGCCAAGGAATTAAGTAGGAAAACAAGCGGCGGGTACCGGTTGTTTCCCTTTATTGCCAATGTTGGCTTTTAACTCGTAATTTGTTAACCTAGCAAGAGTATTGGTTGAGAGCCTTTGTTTATTAGAAACAAGTGGACGACTCATACCTTTTAGGCTCCATACTAAGTTTGAGTGACTATTAACTTAGGAGTTACTTAGTCTTTGTCGCAATTTAGATTGAGTAGTAGAGGTACCAGACGGCGTAGGCCGGCTAGACCCCTTGATTCGCCAATGTTTGTTGGCTATTAACTCAATAGGTTACTTAGTAGGAATAGGGGTTCGAGTGCCCTTGTTTGTTTAAAACAG